TATTATTATATAAATAATTATATAATTTTTTTATTCCGAGCTAAAACTAGCCGAATATGAACGAACAAAGAGTTGTTCGTCCTCGGCTCGTTTACAATTCGAGCTTTAAAAATGTGTTCGTGTTTTGCTCGGTTTTTTGTGCTCGTTTACTTGATGAACGAGTCGAACACGAGCTACATAACGAGCCGAACACGAACTGTTTGCGAACTACGAGCTTTTTTAACTGAATTATTCTGATTTAAGAAGTAAAAAATTATATAAATAATAGATTAAATAAGAAATTAGGCTATTATTATTTTTATTATAATTCATTATTAATAATTAAATTTGCAGTATTACTTTTCATCTCAATTTATTATTTAATAAATTTTATATTCTATATATTTTTATCTCATTTGAACTCAAGAATATTATAGGATTACATGTAGTTATTTGATGATAAGTAATAATATGAATTTGGGAGTTTTTGTCCGGTGACTAGAGTTAACCAAATAATTAATGAATAATTTTGTGTTTTGAATAAATTATTATTATTTTAAATAAGTTATTATTTATATTATGTCTATTGCAATAATTTCTGATTGAAGAATACATGGACAAAAATCAACAAAGTTGGGAAAAGACTTGACCATTATATAAGAAGCATTGTGATAGCATCCAAGCAAAAAATGCATGTAGAAACAAAGATCTTAGTGTTATAATGATGAATTTGGAGTGTCATGGTATTTGAATTTGAACCCGCAATGCTTGTTTTGGAGCACCACAACGGTTGGGACATGAAAAAAATAAGGATTAAAAATTAGAGAGCTCGACATCTCAATGCAAACTTATGACACCATAGAAAGTGAGAAAAGAGGTTGACAATATAGGAGAAAAATTTGCGTACGTCACGTAAGACGTACGTAGCGCTGCGTATGTAAGGGAGGTTATTCAGAGGGTATTGGGGGGTTATATCCACGTTATATCTCCTGTAACCTCCCTATAACCTACCTGTACCTTTTAGTAAGTTTCACGCTTCTGTTTTCATATATTAGTAGGTTACATGGGGTATAACGTGGATATAACCCCCTAATAACCTATCTGTACCTTTTAGTAAGTTTTGTGCTTCTGTTTCCATATATTAGTAGGTTACGGGGAGGTTACATGGGGTATAACGTGGATATAACCCCCTAATACCATCTGAATAATCTCTGTGACGTACGCAGCGCTGCGTAATACCATCTGAATAATCTCTCTGACGTACGCAGCGCTGCGTACGTTTTACGTGCGCAAATTTTTCTCACAATATAAACACCCCTGTGTTAAACTACTAGGGCATTATGGCACAACAAGAAATCAACATCAACAAAAAAGGCGGAGAATTCAACATGTCGATGCTAACACGTCGTGTTTTAGTGCTATATACGACGCCTCAGCACTACATGGCACAATGTCGCAATGCAATGAGGTATGACAAATTCAATTCTAAAGCAGTTTTAGAGCTGGTTGAGAGAGTTATTAGAGCGGTTGCTTGCATGCTGACTTGAAGAGAACAATATAGAGTGGGAGAGCAGACATGGACTTATTTTGATTGTGCGATGATTGATGAGTGAGCAAGAGAGGCCAAGCAGAAAGAAGAGGAGAATGTGAATAAATTAAGTGTTTGAATTCATCACACCGGGTTTATTTTCTCATGATTTTAAAATCATTTTAGCAGTATGAATTAAATTGTAATACTATGAGTTTATGATAAATCAATACTATTTTTGTGAAACCTTGAGTTGATTGAGATAATTGTTTAAATAGTTGTCTAATCTTTCCCCAAATTTCATTGAGTTGTGTAACCTATATACAAATTTTAAAGTTAATGTGATTCATTGATATTGACTGACTCATGGAAGAATAATTATAAAAAAATTAACAAGTTTTTAATTTGTAATAGACTGGCATATAATACTAGAGATTTGCAATCTAGAAAACAATATTCTTAATGCAATCATTTCACTAGTTAGAATAGATATATATCTAATTAGAGATATTGGTTTAAATTTTTATTTCAATAGAAATGAGAAAATTTGTATTCTTTGTTTGAAAACCCAAATAATTTGGAAATTTAACCTAAGAACTCCAAATAATTCATATAAATGAAAGGCACTCCTTATCATGGTAGAATATAGTTCTAATCAAACACTTAGATTATAGTTTTATAATAAGTTAAAATAGTTGAATAAAACTAAAGGTGATAAAAAAATAGCTATAAAATTATAAGAATGTTCAATTATGATCCTCATGGAAATGATATTCTACCCATCTTATATTACTTGAGTGGCATATGTACTTACATACACCGTTTTGGCCATTCATCCAATCCATGATTATGCTTGATAATAACTGCAAGCAATCAATGTCTTTGAATCACTGACGTTTGATTATCATCCTATGACCACCAACATTTGATTAACAACTGTCATCACTCAAAAATATGACAAGCTAAAACTATCCTTGAATCATTGATAAAGCAATACTATCTTTAAATCAATGATGTTTGATTATCATTATATGAACGTCATCATTTGATTAGTATCAGCCACCACTCAAATATGATCTCTCACCCACTTACATTTATCGATTGTGATTTTTCTCGAAATGATGATTTTTTTTATTTTAATTTTGAGGTGGGATTGAGACATTTGTATCCCTTGTGTTGCTGCGAGCAATCTAAAAATATGCATTGAAGTGAGCAAGGTTGCATCATTTTGGGTATAGGGGGCATTGGCTTGATGCAAGAGAGTACGAGTGGTTCCAATGAGGTGGCAGTGCTTTTGTTCAACCACACCTTTTTGCCCGGATGTGTATGAGCATGAGTATTGATGGATGATGCCATGGTTAGCAAAAATTGATTTAAATTGTGATTGTTGTACTCTAGCTCTCCGTCGAAGTGAGGAATTTTGATTGTGGTGTTGAATTGATGTTGAAGTAGTGGAATAAAATATTTTGTAATTTAGTTTGAGATTTATCACGCATAAAGAAAACCGAAGTGAATTTAGAAAAGTCATCAGTGAACACAATATAATATTTGTAACATTGATAGGATAAGATTGGGGAAGGACCCCATACATCATTGTGAATGAGTTCTAGTAGTTTGTGTTTTTGTACTATACTAGACTCAAAGGGTTGTTTGTGACTCTTAGACAATCTGTAGATGCTACAAAAATTTGGAATAGATGGTGTATAAAAAGGACTGGCATAGTGGAGATGATGTCGGGATGTGAATGACTCAACCGATGATGCCATAACTCAGAGTGTCGGGCTTTGGAGAGTGATGAGGTCAAAGCTTGTGGTAAAGTCGAGGAGGAAAGAGAGGAGCAGAGACCATAGAGGATCAACTATCGAGTCTACGGATCAGACATATAGAAACTAGAGGAGTTAAATGAGACAATCAAGTTGTTATCTTTGGTTTGTTTTTGAATAGATATTAAGTTGCTGGAAAGCAATGAAGTGTGATGTGTTTGAGAGAGTTTAAGTTTAAAGTTTGGAGTAGGAAGGATGCCATCGCCTTTGTGTTGAATTGGAAGTTGTTTTTCATTACCGAGTGCCTCTTCTTGGCCATGATAAGGAGTTGGTTGATGTAGTTGGCTGAGATCAAAAGTGAAATGTGTCAATGCTCCGAAATCCAGTATCCAATCTTTTGATGTGGCCACTAGGGCTTGAGATAGGGGTGTAGGGGCATAATCCAAGTTGGTTCTGTGCCAATATATTGATACCGAGTGTCCTGCTTTGTTACATATTTGACAAATCATGAGAGAGCGAGTTGATTGACGACCCCCCTTAAAGCCTACATGGTAACCTCCACATTGTTTTGCGGACAAAGTTCTTCCTAGTCCCTGATTGTTGAATTGACCTCTTCCACGAGTAGCCATGAGGGCCACTTGAGATTCGATGGGCTGAATGGCTTTTGTAGCTTTATAGTTGATGTTGATTTCCTCACTACAAAAAAGTGAGCAGAGGTCCTCAAGTGCAATGGGCTGAAGCATAGTTCGAGTAGAAGCCTTGAATGCATTATATGAGGAAGGAAGGCCATTAAGAAAGAATTGTGCGGTACTTATGTAAATTCTCAAAAAATATTGTTAAAGGTACTTTCTTTTATTATGTGAGGTAAATCAGATGTGCGATCGACTGTGTAGATCAGACCAAAGCATCAATGAATTAAATATTTTATCCTTTTTTAGAATTATATACAACAGTTTCTAACACATTATTTTGATGATTAATTTATAAATAACAATATTTGGGGTGATCTCCACGCAATTATCCCTCTATTTTAATGGATGGTCGATTATCCTTCTCCATCAAGCCAGAATTCTCCCGCTAACAGCAGCACAAATACCATTTTTAAATTCCACCGACTTCCCTTCACCCTCGAAACAGTATAAAGCTTCCATTTCTCCGCATTTTCCTTTTCGAAAGCCTTCTCGGCTTCTTCCTTTCGATGGACTCCACTACTGAATCACCTGCTCCGATGAGCTTCGACGTAGACGAATGGGACGAGAACTTCATCAACGAAGTATTCAAGGTCGAGCTCGGTTTATGCTCCAAAAATGCCGCCGTCAATCCCGTGGTTACTCCGGCTCCTTTGAACCCTAGCTCCTCTTATCTGCCGGAGCAGGAGGCGTTTCGTCAGTGGGAGCCACTCCAACCGTTTCGTTCGGAACGTGGGGAATTGTCTTCTTCTGGGTTCGATGCGGGTGGCAGCGAAGTATGCTTTTCGCCGCCGCGGGAGTTATCGCAGAGGTTTAAAGAGGTGTATGAAGCTGCTCCGGTTGTGGATGATTGCGTGACGGTTGAGACTAGGGTTTTGAGAAACGGGGGTTTCGGTCGCGTACGCGGTGGCAGGAATAATAAAGAGGTGGAGCGGTTGAAGGTTAGTTGTTCTCATTCGTGGGTTTTGTACTAGAGTTTATTCTCGGAGAGCAGATTCCTTGTGGAATGTAGACTACTTTCGTTGTTTCATTGTGGAATGCCTGGTCCATACTGACTTATAGTAGGTCTTAATTCATTAAATCGCATGGAGAACTTGTTAAGCTCTGGTTTGCAAGATGAATGCCCAGGTGTTTGGATGAGGCTATTCAATCTGTCTTCTCTTGCCATTGAGATTTAATGCTTGTTTTGGCAGCGATCAAGAGCTGTTTTTGAGTCTACATGGAAGAAGCGTTTATCAGGCAGGGGTTGGGATCTGTTCTTGATGGCATTGTTTTGGGCTTTTCAGCTTAGTGTTCAGGGTGGCTTGGTGGCTTTAGTTTGACTGTGAAAAAATATTACATTAGTACTACACATGTAGAGTAACGTGCGTAATCAATGAAATCACGTCACGACACCTTGCGTGACAGAGAAAAAAAATGACGCAGTAACACGGGGAATATTCCTCCCGTGTTATTCATGTGTTATTGTGTGTTATTCATGTGATATTGTGTTATTATAACACCAGGAATATTCCCATGACACAATAACACATGAATAACACACAATAACACATGAATAACACGGGAGGAATATCGTATTACTGCGTCATTTTTTTCTTTGTCGGGAATATTTACCGTGTTATTCAGGTGTTATTGTGTGTTATTCATGTATTATTGTGTCCTGAGAATATTTTTGGTGTTATAATAACACAATAACACATGAATAACACGCAATAACACATAAATAACACACAATAATACATGAATAACACAGGGGAGGAATATTCTCCGTGTTACTGCGTCTTTTTTTTTCCTGTCGCGCGGGGTGTCGTGGCGTGATGCCATTGGCTACGCACGTTACTTCTACGTGCGTAGTACTGATGTAATATTTTTTCGTGAAGTAGGATACTTTGGGGGTTCATTCTAGCGTGGAGACTTTTTTTAGGTTGGGATTTATGGGGCTACGCTTTTGAAAGTTATTTGCTTTTAAACTCTTTGACAAACTGATTTCTTTTGTCTTTGCCTAAATTAGGATTTGTGTATCTAGAACTTTTTCAAAATTTTTACTGTTATTGGCCAGGCTTTAAAAGCTCCTAAGATAGTTTTTTTTTTATGGTTTGGCGTTATTTGCGACAGTTAGAGAATTTTCAAAGCTTGGACTTGAGGTATTCAATGTAACTTATGGTTGTGCATATTGTGTTCTACAGAAAAAAGGTGATATGGGACTGCTCTCTTTACTTCATAGTTTGTTGATATGGTATTTACTCCTCTTGTGCTTTTTGCTCACATTTCTTTCCTTAGTGTAAGGACATAAATTGATTGTTTAGTGTTGATGGTGTCGTATAAGTGGATAGATTTCTTTTCACACTACATTTATTTGGCGTTTTGAAATGAGCAAAGTGCAAACTGTCTGTGATTCTGTCATTGTGTTGATCTTAACATTTTAGCTCCTTGGTGCTCGCCTTCATAGGATTGCCTGCCTTAGTCCCGGCCACCCGGCAATGGTGGCAACTGAATCATGACATTTATGATTTGTTGATTTCATCCTCACCGTTGGCTTTGATTGGCTGTTTATTGTTTTAAAATATTTACATCAAGATATGACATACATGTTGTTTTTAGCCCTTCTCTATTGGTGTCCATGTTTTGGAGGCACTTATGTCTTTTATTTCTGTACCATCTAATGTAACCAAAAACTTCCTTTTGAATCTTATTTAATAGCTTTTCAATAATATTTTTCTTTGGCATCAACTTTATGTGTCGTACATGTCGAGTAACATTTGTCTGTGTTACTAAGTATTATGCAATTCACAAACTATAACATCAGCCGTAGCATGAATAGTTTCATTTAAGTATGGTTATTAAGTAAATCTTACTATCCTTTTTATATTGCAGAAGGAGTTGGAGCATCTCTCCAAGAAGTTCACTCACATGGTACTATTTTATATGAGAAGTGCTGCTGTTTTCCTGTTAATTTTTTAACTTGTAACATTTTAGCTGTTGCCTTGCACATCCTGAAATACAAACCAACCTTTTTGAATTAAACAATTCTTTCTAGCAAAATCTTTTCGTTGAGGAGCTGTTTGGTTGGATATATTTTGGTTGTAAAGTAGAAGATTTGCCAGAATTTTGACTCTATCTATATTTCCTTATTTCAATTCAAACAAATTGGACACTTTCTGTTTTCACTTTGATTAAATCTTTGTCTCCTTGAGTTTGTGCTCATGCTCAATCTTTCGTTAATGCTATGACTAGCCTGTCACTCTTGCATTTGCAACACTCTTGGCTCAACTTGTTTCTTTGTGCACACTTCAGCCTTGTCTCCCATTTAACAATCCTCTACCCACCACCCATCATCAAAACTGCGCCACCTCACCCACCCTGCCTCCTGTGTGTATTTCTTTCATTGTAATCAATTTGAGATGATGTGGCCCATGGAGTGTAACCATTAAGGGTGTTTGTGGTGTGCACCAGAGACAGCTTGTTGAGGATCAATGCTGTTGATGTGGTGGGTGGGGGAGAAGAAGAACACCAGAAACAATAACTGTGTTTGCTTTAGATGCAAACAAATAGATGAAAGCGAGAGAAATAACTGCATTCTTAAAATATATGTATTTTCAGTTGATGCGCCCAAACGGCTCCTAAGAAACCTACTGCTATGGCCAGATGCCAAAATTGTATTACTGTTTTATTTTTCAGGAACAAGACTGCGTCACCCTCAAGAATGATAGAGATCGGAAAAATGAGCAGCTGAAATGTGTTATTTCACAACTTGAAGCTAAAGATGCTGAAGTCCAGAGCCTTAAGAGGGAAAATTCGTGAGTGATAGCTTTTTGCTATTTCTAACAATAATATTTTGTTACAAATATTATGGGGAGAAAAAGAACATGTTCAGAAGTGATAAATCCTACATCAACTATAGTGTTTGTCATCAAGACACAATAATAATACTGTAAAAAAGTCTATTCAAATGTGCATTAATGCATAACATGTTCATATCGAGGGGTACAACCAAGGTGTGTAGGCACTCATGGAACTCCTGCATATCACATGTGCAGTTTTGCAGACACAAATGAATGAGGCCCTGTTAACACCCTTCTCCTAAAAATTTTATTGGCATTTTAAGATCAAGAGGTGATACATATTAAATTAATTTGTGCTTGCAGGAGGGCTCATCCTCCCACTTCTTTTGAGAGCAAAATAGTCTCCACCAACTCCGAAACTTTTCATTCTAGATTGAAAGTTCCTCAAACAGATGGATCTGCAGTTTCTGAACTGAAGCAGCGTGTAATGATAGATGATCGTAAGATATTTTCATTCTGTAAACTCGGACTCATACCTTTTTTTTCTACTTGTTCAATAATGTACCAAATTTGTTCATTTGATGGGTTTAGAAGCAACCACCTCCAGCAAAGCTCAGGTGCTTCTGCAACTTCTTAAATATCATACATATATGGCCTCACTATAATGACCAGTCCATCTAAGCTATGATTTTTGCACCTTCTGTTCAGGAATGTTCCTTTATGGAGAAGTCCACTGAATCCAAATGTAGAAAGAGTACTGGAATTCAAACTGATGTTGGTCAAGATGACGTTGATAATGTCCAACGAAAGAGAAGTCTAAAGGAACAAGTAATTGTAAGCAACTTGCATGCAATCTGGGGCTTATACGACAAAAGACCTGGAAGCAATCTGGTGTTGAAGCTTCTTAGAACTTGTTCAGCAGATTTTCTTACACTTTTCAGGTGCATCAACATGTCATCAACATGTAATCTCGATGGAGTGGCAAACGAAAGCTTTTCAGAGATAGCTTTGAATGACAACACACATTCTATTCATTCAAGTGATTCTGTTAAAGCATATCGGTTTTATCAGTTGCTTATGAAGGTGCAAAACATGATAAATTTTCTTATATACACTGCACAATATCCAAATAATGGATTAATATAATTTATTCTTTTATGTCAGAGGTTGCTTTGTTCAAGTATTTTATGAGAATCTTATTCTTTGACTGGATAAGTTTTGAAGATTTGTTCTAGTGGAACTAAGCCTTCCAGTGATCAAAATTAACATGCATGTTACCTTGTAACATTGTATGAGGCTTACATGACACTATATGTTAATGGCAACTTTAGAAGAAATCACACAATTCAACCCATTAATCTACTTGGTTGGAGTTGCCCTCTTTCGGGTGTGAGTTGTTGAGGTGGCAGTATTTAGTTGTTTAAAGTCATCAAATTAGAGTTTGGTGGTTAAATTCATGCCATGTTCTAGAGCTCATCAACAACTTGTGATGCAGAGAATATACTGTTAATAGTCATAGAATGCTTAATAACTGTGCATTTGTTTAGTGCCATGTTTTCAAAATTGATGAATAGGCATTCACATATTTAATTGTGAACTAGATCTTATTTTCCAAGATCAATAAAGGGTTTCTAATTTGTTATTGCAGATGCATCATGAGATTGTACCATTGCAGGATTTTATTGATGCCTTACTAGAGCTATGCAGCCTTGATAAAGTAAGTGATAGAATTCTTAATCTCTATTTGGATTCTTTCAGTTTTGTTGATGGCATTTTTCAGAACTTTATCATGCGATACAGGCCACTTCCCATATGTTTTTGAACTCAGAATGTCATTCATTGTCTACTGATAAGTGATAAATGGTTTCTCGTAGAGCATAACTCTGCTTGAACCTCTTTTTTGAGGTTATCTTATCATTATTTTCTTCGCGTACTTGACATTTGTTCCAGAATAATCCAGATTCCTGTTGAAACTTAGTTTTGGCATCCCGAGTGGCTTCTTATATTGACAGTTTTTACCATGCTTTCCTTGGATACCACAGATGGATAGGAGACAATTTATATTCCTGCATAATGTATCTTTAGTTATTCGAGAAATTTAATTTCTCCAAAGAGTATAAGATAATTTGAGTCTGTTTTTTTTTGCACATTTTTTGTGCAGGGAGGCTGATTTATTGTACTTTATCAATAAAAGGTTTGAGGCGTCCTAACCCTAAACTGATAAATAGCTTCACCTAAAAGTATTTCGTTAAATTTTGTTGAAACTGATGATGAAAATTTTCACATTTATTCTCATCCAAAGCATTGCATCGTGCATTAATTTTTATACTGTTTTTATTTTAATCTTTTTTAGCAGTTGAATTATTTTATTTCTGTTTTGGGTACATACCGGCTGAGAGGGGTTATAATGAAAAATAAATGTTGTATTTTATTGTCTAGCTTTAGATTAGATTATGTAGTTGGGTGTAATTTCCCTCTTGATTTGGTTTAGGTTAATTGCCACAATAGATTGATGAGGTTGCGGTGGACAAAATTATATCTTAATATTATTTCATGTATTAGGAGACCGATACTTGCAGAGGGGTTGTGATTGTGACGATGGTGTTGAAAATATTTATCAAATATAAATAAATAAAAGCAGAAATTGTGGCTGTGTTGTTTGACGCAAGATCTTTAGTCAACTATAAACGTGGTTAATGCAACAGTTACTATAGCTACATTATTCGGGCATAAAATTATTTATATATGTTCTAGGAGCTGAAGTAGGTTTTTCGAAAATTTAAATATAAATTAGGTATTGTTCGTTTAATTTGGGAGATATGAAATTAAATTGAGGTATCTTAAACTTAGATTGAGACTAATTTTATGCTAATATATAGGTTATAAATAGTGTTATGAGGCGCGTCTTTCACAATTTTTGGCTTGAATATTTTTTTTTTCTAGTTTTATGTACTACGGGTGCATGTTGAATATCTCGGGTACGTTTAACTGTAGTACCTAATTATAATGGAAAGTTACCAACTTGTTCTATTTTGAGGTTTGCTTTTTCTTATTTTTGTAAATTTGTTCCTTTTTCTATTTTATCTCAATAATGTGTTATTGGTTTGTTGAATGAACTTGGTTTTGATAAAGAAAGGTAACACGTTAGAAATCAAATTTGTGAAAATAAGTTCTATTTTCTCACTGATTTCCTTTGTTTTTTTATTTTTTACTAATTTTTTTTGGATTTTTTTGAACATTTCATTATTAATTATCTTAAATTTTGTATCCGATGCTTTCATTTAAAAAGTTGAATTATGGTATTAATTGACAACTTATAATCTATGAATTATCCTTTTTTTTCCATTAAAGCATGCTTCACATTGATTTAGCTGCATTAGGAAACCCTATGTTTGAGTCATTTTACATCAAATTGGTATCAGAGTTTCAGATTGTGTCAACGCACTGATTATAAGTGCAAGTAATAATAAGGTAACTTTACATATTGTGAAGTATGAACTTTTAGCTATGATAATCTTGTTAAAATAAGGATTACTAATTTGAAAACCAATGAAATTTATTTACATGAACTAGAGGTGGATTTCATATGTAACGATGCACCAGTTCATTTAAATCTTAATTCTAGTAGTAAACATAAACTATAAAATTTTGACATATATGATAACATAACTAGAAAAATTATAGTTAAATTGTTAACTATGATGAGAAATTAGTTGTAAGACAATTGCAGCTTGGTTATTAGATGCTGATTACTTATTTGACCGACAAACTATGTTTGATTAACAACTAGAGTGATTTCCAAAACTGAAATTAAATGGTTGTTAAAATCTGTTGCAAAAACTGAAATTAAATGGTTGTTAAAATCTGTTGCATGACCATGGAAAGAGGCAAAAAATTTGGAAGAGAACCTGCTACGACATGGATTGAATTGAAAGAAACTGTGAAGAAAAAATATTTACCTTTTATCATATCTTTAATTTAATTATTAAAAAATTAAACAATTTCATTATCGAATTACATGAGCAAATTTGAAGAGTTGTTGTGTTATGGGATATTTGATGATGTTAAGATCACATTCTCTAGGTCAAGAGAGAGATGACAGTTCAATGCATTTCCATCACTCGAGTATGCTTTTTAATATATATTATATTTTGAACAAATAGTAAAACTTCATGTGTCTTAGTGGGTTATTGCATTTTTTGGTAGTGCATTCTTTTTTCAAAACAAATAATTTCAATTTGTTGTACCTAACTCATGTTTGGATCTACTACTAATGCTATTGCAGTCAATAAGGGCACCTATCCCGGTAGGAACCTCTACACAAGTTTTGCGGAGGAAAAATATAGCATCAATGATTCTAATGACATTCATGAATATCATGTGTTGTATCATTTGTTACTCCAAAGGTTGAGTTTGACTGAAATAGAGTTGCAATTTCTTAAATCGATTTTAAAATTGGGGAGTTTCAGTGAGTTTTATGAATATCATGTCTAAATCAATCATAGATTGCATGAATTTGGGACGTATGTAATATTCACAATCATATACTATACTTTAAGTAGATAAAATTATTATCTATGTTATCTCAACCTAATTGATATAATATTGCGTGATGGAACTTTATTATATGATCTTGATGTAACTCATTTTGAATGTCCAATGCATAGGCTTTTAACACTGATGAGTGAGTAGTTTAGAAACCTGCAAAGCTTAAGAATAAATCTGAGTCTGCAAAAAAAAATTTGTAATATTAAAAATAGATTTTACATATTATAAGGGAACATTCATTTGAGAGTGTAAATATAAGGGTTTGATCTATGCCTTATTATTGATGATGTTAATCAATCATAGAATGATTTTAAAAACTATTGTCTCGGTAAACTTTTCAATGATGTTTTGAATAATCGCTGCTTAATTTGACTCATTAGGGGATGAATCTTGTAGAAAATATTAAGTTAAATGACTTGTTGATCACTTATGTAAGAAGGGATTCATTATGGGAAATATGAGTCCCTTGCTTTGCTTACACCAATGAAAAATAGTGATTGAGGGATGTGTGTGGATTATAAAGCCAACATGGGAGCAACAGGACACTTTCCAATTATTGTAGCCACGGTTTTGGTGGCCTTCTTTTACTTCTACCTTTACCCATTATGGGAGCAACGAGACACTTTCCACCCCCCTGGGCTGCTCAAATCTTATTTTGGTCCCCCTCCCCCTCCTGGTTGGCTAAAGATCAATGTGGACGAAGTTCTTCTCCCCTCTCATTCGGTCGGCCTTGGCATGTTTATTTGGACGAGGTTGGCGATTGCCCGGTGGCTTCGAGAAAAAAAGGGAACAATAGGAAAATGCGAGAGTGGAGCTTGAGGCGGTGCTGACTATCAAGCATTGATTTCAAAATTGGATGTTTGAGGCACGCAGGATTATCATCGAAGGTGATAATAGCAATGTTATTGATTTTCTCTAAAACACCATGGATCACCGAAACCGACAACATCAAAACATTCCGAACATAGCTTTTTCTTTCGGCAATCAAACTGGTTATTTTTCACTTTACTCCTCGATTTCGTAATAACATGGCCAATTTTTGTGTCAGAAAGCCTTGCATGATAGTTTTTTGCTTTTAGATGTGAATACTTCGCATGAACTTTCTGCTTTCATAGAAAATGATAGGATGCATACTTGTAATGCTCAAGGGATATAGTTTTGTACTTTTATCCTTTTTTTATTAATGCAAAATGCACCTTTCATGGATAATAAAGCCAACAATAAATTTAACATCAAATTTAAATTCTATATACCTCATTTGGACAATAATGTACTAATATATACGATGATTGGTGGTGGTGTGATGTTTTGTGAAATTATTTAACTAACTTAATTTGTCAAATTAAAATAAGAGGTGATATGTGAAATTATATGAGAAACCAATGTCTTGCGAGTTAATTTGACCAAATATTTTATGAATATTAATGATGCATTTTGGATAAACCAATGTGCATAATACTTTTATGATGATATTGAACCATGTCTTGCTACTTTTTATTGATTTTCTTTTGTTATTTATTTTGATGATATTTTAATTTATAGTAATAAACTAGATGATCATTTTTTGCATAATAGTAAAGTAATTAATGTTTTACAAACTAAGAAATTATATGAGAATTTGAAGAAATGTTTTTTTACTCAAACTTTGATCTTTTTAGATTTCTTATGTTCGAGGTGGCTTAGTTGTTGATTTTAACAAAGTTAAAATTATAAATGATTAGCCGAAAACAATCTAACGTATCTAATGTTTGGATATTTATTGTTTGTCTATTTATTATAGACAATTCATGAAAGGTTTTATTATTGTTACTACTCTACCTATACAAATATTATTGTTATAACTCTAATTAAAATTATCAAAAAATAAAAAAAATTATATATACTAAATATATTGATCACGCTCTTGCTGAGATTAAAAGGACTTATGTATTTTTACTGAAGTTATTTGATTTTAATAACTTGTTTGAGTCAAGAGGGACATCCTATTGTTTTCTATAGTGAGAAATTAAATGAAACTAGATAAAAATATTCAATCTAAGACCGTGAAGTCTAAGATGCCATGCATGCTTTTCAATGTTGGAGAAATTATTTTTTACCTATGGGATTTGTGTTTTATTATGATGATCAGTTTTTAAAATATGTGAATTCTTAAAAGAAGCTAGGGCACTGGCATGCCAAGGGGGTTCAGTTTCTACAAAAAAGTATTCTTTTGTCCTTACTCATTGCGTGGTTCTACTAACAAATAGAGTTTCCGCCATTCTTCATATAATGCAAGTTCCATTGTCTCATTTGATCATATAAAAGAGGAACATGCCACTTATAGGAAATTTGGCAAAATTTATCAATGCTTAAGTTTTTTTTTTTGATAAAATCTTGAAGATTAAATATAATTATTTGTTTGAAGGTACTCATGTCTTTATTCTTGATTTTTTTTTATTTTAGAATTATATGTTAGAAATGCTCTTAGAAATTTGTAGAGAGATAATACCATTGCAATGACTGAGAATATATATTTCTGGCTAAGTCTGAAAAGTGATTTAGTACAATAGGTTTCATAATATAGAACTTTTCAATTTGCTAGAAATAGTTTTTTTTTTTTTTAACAGTTGATTCTTTTATTTCTACACTTCAGATGATCTATCTGTTAGTTTGTGATTGCTAGAATTTATATCTTGGCTTTTTTTATTGTACTTACTATAAGATTAAGGAGATTATGATGGACATCATTATATTTTCTTATTTTTTTGAAGTATCAGATTGACCGTTGTTGCAGGATTGTGATTGAGATTGGGGTTTGGGAAATATTCATTACATTAAAAAAGATAAAAGAAGCTATGGCCATTTGGCTTGAGATTTCCTAGTTATGGTATATTTTATTTCTATAACAGGTATTGTAGTAGGTTACTTTAGCGTGATGCTACTTGCATGTTGGTATTAGCACACGTCTCTTTGGAAGAACAAAATGATTGTAGTCAGTTACTTTGGAATTTTTTGAGTTTAAAATGGTAACATTTGGTTATTTTAGTGAAATTGAAATTAAATTTGTTAATTTAAACTTAAATTAGGGTTTATCTTATGCCATGCTTACCTACTTGCCCAGATTTTGAGGACACTATAAATAGTAGTACAAGTGCCATTGCTAACTTTGGAGAAAATTATCTCCCTGCATTGATGCGAGACATGAATTTTTTTCTTAAATTTTTGATTAACTTTGTACCTTATTGTATTTTTTCTTCATAGAATATTATTAGCTTGCGGAATCTTTTAATTTTGATTAAAAAAATTGGTATACTGAAAATTTAAGATGGGTAAATTAATTCAAATTGCTTGTTGATTTTACTTGTTTTCTATTTTGCTGAAATTCTTAGAGATTTTCGATAATTTCATAATGATTTGTTATTAAATTCTAATTTGAGGTGGTTTCATTTTACCATTGAGTTTTCGGAGTGAATGGAAACAAATGATATGGGAATCATTAATTTTTAATTTTACTTTGAACGAGTATACTCCATATGAAATTTAATGTATAAGAAAAGTTAACCCTGACTCGCTGTCCGTTAATGATGAATGCAGTCTTTAAGAGGCAAAAGAGAGTATATTTATGATAATTAATGTTTTGAACTACAAATAGACAACCTCCGAACTATTCATTGGTCAGAGCTATATATGCTATTGGTGTGCCTTTTTAAATGTGGGTGCACCGTTTTAAATGTTGTTGAAGTCCAATGCTTTCCTTTTTTATAATTCCATGTTATGTTTTGCATGTTGTGTTGCTATTGCTCTTAAATGCCTTGTTCTCCTACGATGTTTGTTTGCTGCTGCTGTTTGCCTCATTGTGTTTCTTGTTATTATGGTGAACTTTTCTTTATTGGTTTGTTTCTTGGACATTGAGCATTGAAAATTGATACTGTATATAAATATTCTGTTTCATTCTTCTAACAAATCTCCAAGCAGACTAGCTGTTTGTGTACAATAAATATGATTTTGAAACTGTTATTTTTATTTCTCTTTCATGTCTGGCATTCTTCGCATTTAGGAACAGATTTTTGTTTGCTTCTAGCTTTTTCAATTTTTCTTTTTTGTGTTACAGGCTGTGGCCCATGTATCTTTGCGCATATTGCATACTACCTTGCAACATTTGAGCCTTGATTCTAGTTGTCAGGTAAAGATGTATTGCATCTGATGAATTCATTATTGTCCCATTTTTATTATGCGGATCTCGTTCTTCCCCATCTATTGACTTTTTAGTATATATTAAAGTTATGTTTCACCTCTGATTCGAATAATGATCTCGGTGAATTGAATATATCTGAAGTTAATTATTCTGTGTTTATCTGCTTTATGCATAGTTTTTTGCTTGAAATAACGATTATATTTGCCACTTTTTATTGCAATATTCTTTTTTCAGAATTCAATGCTATTCATATTTGTTTTTGCTATTCACTTCCTCAAGAGTTTTACTTGCCCCAACCATATTTCTGAGAATGTTGTACAACTTGTTGCAACAAAAAATTTACTTGGTTTACCTTGGTATTGTGAATTTGTGGATGTTTTCCCATGATGTTTTGTGGTGCTTTATTTATTAAGGGCTGTGCAGTGCACTACTCTATCCCAGAAATGAATTGAACATCACACGTATGTGATATTAATGGCTTAGCATGAATAAATATTGTATTGACAATACTAGAAGTGTCACCAATGTTACTTTAATGGATATATTTTACATTGATCGCCTAACCTGCTTTTTTGCAGGGGCTAGGGGTTGAACCGGTCCTACCGGTTCCGCAAGTAGGGGTTGACCCGGTCCTACCGGTTCCGCAAGCCAACCGGTTCAACAGGAAGAATGACTCTCGGTTTGGTAGGTGGCTGGACTGGTCCCCTCCTCCCTCTTTTCATTGAGTGGGAATTACCACCCACCACCACCCACCACCACCCAACACCACCCACCACCACCCACCGCTGATTTTCTGTGAGACAGTTGTCGGCATCTAAGTTTCTCCTTTGAGGGCTGCATTCGAAGGCGAGAAGGTGTTCTGACTGTAACTCGCCATGAGATGATGCTTATATTCCGTTCCTCCCGATTCCCCAACCTTATTCCAGCCGCCAAATCTGATGTCGTCTCTGCCAAAACTGTTTTGCGTCCGCCCAACCCTTCTCAACCCACTCCCAACCCTCCCCCAACCCTCCCCTTACCAGCAACCACACCCTTCCTTCGGATTCTACTGTTTAGCCGCTCCATCACCTAAGTCTCTCCTGCTGCTTTCTTGCCGATGATCTCCTCACCAACTGGCTTGTTGTGTCGCTAACACCCTCAGCCCACCTAACCTGCTCTTTCCTTCTCTTAGGACCTGTTTGAGGGCGCTTATTTGGTGCGGTGGTGTTTTGAAAATGCCGCTTATGCTTTAGTTTAACGCGTTCAGGCAATGTTTTCGTAACGCTGTTGTTGTTTCTTTAATATACGCTGCCGCAGGATCAATCCAACGACCCACATTCGTTAACTTCGTTTTATCTGGCTGTCATTTCTCTCTAATACTATCCCGCATCCTTCGCCTCTCGAGCTCTCGTGCTCGATTTGACTCCTCACTGCTCCTTCGCCTCTCATCTGCTTTAAATCCTCCCTATGCTCTCTCCTAATGGTCGATCTGTAAGTTTTGAATGGAATGATTTTCATTAGTTGATGCTCGTTCAGTTGGGTTTCGTTACCTGGATTTCGTTGGGTAATGCTGGTTTTTCGATTGATTTGTTGTATGTAATTTTCTCGTTTTTCGAATACTTTTGGTATTTCGATATGTTCCTTCTCCTCTTCTCAGATTCTTCTCCCCAACTCTTTAGGATTTGCGATTTTATATCTTGGGGTTTCTGTCTTGACATTTCGGTATGTTTCTTTGGTTGGAATTGCCAAGAGAGCAGGTCATGCTTGCAGTGCAGTTGCGTTTGGTGGAAACAAGTTGGAATGAACAACTCTTGTTCGATGGTTGCAATGCAATTTGGAACTGTGTTTGTTCTTAAGTTGTTAATGTTTAGAGTTTCTTATTATGCCACCAATGTTGCAAACAGTCCTGTTGCAAACAATATTACTTAATAGGGGCAAAATGATCATTTATCTAGAAATAACTGCAAATAAGTTGTTCTAAATAAGCTCCCCAAACAACCAACCAGCTTATCAGGACAATCTGCAGATTATCAGATTATCAGAATAATCTGCAAATAAATAAATAAATACATTATAAATAATCTACAATTGCCCTAGACAAACCCTTAATTGCCAATAGCTAAATAAATACATTATAAATAATCTGCAATTGCCCTAGACAAACCCTTAATTGCCAATAGCTTCCACCATAGTTCCTTCCAACCCTCCCAGAATTGATGTCAACTCCTCCAACCATAGCTGCCTGCCCCTCAACTTGCAGCAGAATCCATAGTGCTTCTTTCTCTTCTTTTCATTCTTTCTTACAAACTTCTCTCTCTCTTTTTTTTTTTTTTTCATTTTGTGAGAGTTAACCGATCTTCCAAATCACGATGGATAGATCAGGATCCATTATATAAAATTATAAAATTTTAAACCTTTTGCATAAAAAAAAAAAAACTGTAAATGCTATGTACCAAAAAAATTTAAAGTTTAAATGTCAGATTGGTTTGTTTGTTTGACATTGTGAAGCATAAAAATTTTTTCATAGCTTCAGTTAAGATCGAATTAACAATTATATCAGATAAAGATTTAGTATTCAGTTTGGATTGTTGAACTATTGTGTCCTCTTTTGTTCAGTATAAAATAATGTCACTTCCACAGAAATGTATGATTTGTCTTAACAAGTTTGTTTTTTTATGTTGTTGAATCTATGGATGAAATGCATGTTCAATCAAGCACTTTTTCCACCTATTTCCTCTCAAATCAAAATGTTTATTTGTGATTTTTTGGAAAGCAAAGTAGTTGTAGTCAAATATTCAACAAGGATTTAATTTTAATCATATACATTAATTATCATTTAATTTATGATATCGTTGGCATGTTTGTTTCTAAAGCCTGATGCATTAAGATTAGAATAATGATCGAGAATGATTAGAATTTAATCAAGTTACATTTTTATAGTACACATACTATGGTATTATTGCGCCATTTATGTTATATTTATTAATTTTTAATTTATGTTGTTACCCGGTTCAACCTCCAGTTCAAATCTGATTCAATCTTTGAACTTTGAATCTCTGCTTCTACCTGTTCAATGTCTGGTCCGGTTTTTAAAGCTTTTGGTTAATTGTATATATTAAATTTTTATTTTATTATTAAATCAAGAAGTTATTGACTGAAGAACATTTCAGAATGGAGGATTAAGAAAAAGTTTATGACAATAAGGTTAGCGTTTATTTGAAAATTTATTTATAGTCAATTAAATGATGAATTATTAAGTATTAATAAATTATTAAATGTTAATATTGGTTCATGCTGGATCAGAATACGTGAAGAATTTGCAACATTAACTAGTTTAGTGTTTCCTATTCAAGTTTCAAGCAGCTGCTTTAAATTGAGGTTGTTAAAAGTGAATAGTAAATTTTATTTAATAGTACTAGATTTTTTACAATTGCAAACTATTAACTGGAAAATTGAAAGGAGTTAATTGAATATATGATTAATTGAATATATGAAAAATGAAAAAAGTATTTGATCGAAAAGATGATTAGGGAAAACTTTTTAAATTAATTTCTTAAATTTGAGTCCTTTATTTTTTTTTATAAGATTTATATATATATGTGTGTGTGTGTGTGTGTGTGTGTGTGTTAATTTTGAGGATAGAACCAGAGGTTAATCTTATTGATGCAAAGAGGGGTATAAATATCTATTACAGGATCTACTATTAAGGAAAGAAATAAAAACATGATATAATAGAAAAGAAAAGGAATAATAAAGGATCTAAACTAATAACTCGGAATAAACAATAATTATTAATGGCGAAAACTAATCATTAATAAATATTTTAATACTCTCCCTCAAGTTGAAGCATATATGTCAGTCATGTTCAACTTAGATTTGAAATTATCGAATAGTAGCCGAGGAAAGTCTTTTGTGATAATATCTGGCAGTTGATCACTAGATGACACAAACGAAACAAATTTTCCCGGACTCGAGCTTTTTCTTAATGAAGTTTCGGTCAATCTCAACATGCTTAGTGCAGTCATGTTGGACTGGGTTATGAGCAAATGCTAATGACTGCCTTGTTATCACATACCAATTGTAGGGGAGCGAAGACTGTCATACGTAATTAGTGGAGCATGATGTGTAACCAAAGAGCTTCACAAATTCCTAGGGACATGACCCGAAATTCAGCTTCATCATTACTCTGAGCAGCTAAAAATTTTTTCTTGATTTTCCATGTGGTCAGGTTTGCTCACACAAATGAGCAGTACCCTAAGGTAGATGGATGATCATGGACGGACCTGACCTATCAGCGTCTGTGTAAATCGCAATAAAACGAGAGGTGTGAGGGGAAAAAAAAACTGAGCTCGACCTTTTAAATAGTGGAGAATCCGGTGATACGCTTGGAGATGGTGCTCATAGGGATCATGCATGAATTGACCTACTATCCCAATTGCGTGGCATATGTTGGGGCGTGTATGTGCTAGATAGATGTGTTTCTCTACAAAACGCTGGTGGTGAGTCTTGTTTACAGGAACTGTATTGGGAACATTAAGAAGTTTTTTATTTGGATCCATCGGGACAACCACTAGTTTGCATAGGAGAAGATTGTTCTCTGTCAAAAAATCAATCACATATTCTCGCTGAGAAAGACAAATACCCTGCGATGACCAATCAACTTTCATGCCTAAGAAATATCAGAGAGATCTCAAGTACTTCATTTCAAAGGAAGCAACAAAAATACCTTTCAGCGATCAATGCTGGTAGATCATTACCTGTGAGAACAATATCATCAACATAGACGATAAGAATAACTATTTGGTCTTTGGAGGAATGCCAGAAGAAGATAGTGCGATCTGATTGATCCTGAGTGAATCCACGACCCACCACCACCTTTGTGAATTTCTCGAACCATGTCTATGGTGATTACTTCAATTCATAGAAGGATATTCACAGTCTACATACTTGTTCTGGGAGGCAATGGAGTCAAAGTCTTGAGGAAGAGCCATGTATTCCTCCTCTGTAAGATTGCCATTCAGAAATGAATTTTTGACATCAAACTGGAATAAGTGTTGATCCAGATTCACTGTAAGGGATTAGAGAACTCAAATGGTGTTTAATTTAGCAAATAGGGCATTAGTTAATCCACCGCCTTCTTATCATTTGCCTTTCCACACTTTGCCTTACCATCTACCTTTTATAACTCACTAGGCCTCCCTCTTTCTCTTTCTTTATTCTAAGTGCCACTTTATTGATCTAAGAAATCATTGCTACCTCCTTACTAATCCTTGGGCTCTTACTATGATTAATTTTCTATTTTTCTTTTCTGATTACTAATTTTATATATCTTTTATTAGAAGCTTTCATAGATTTATATAAATATAACAAAAATGTTGAAATGAGACATTCAAATTCTCCTTAATTCTTGTCAAAGCCCAATAGTTATTGAAATTAAAAGATAAAATGCCAAACTTTTGACTTCTTGATGCCATCTAGTTGCATCTTCTATAACTATAAAAGTAAACATTGTAAAAAATCACAAGAATAATAAGATGTTTTATGAGAAAAACATTTATGCATATAGAATTGTATAACTTAAATTCTAAGGCATTTTAAGAAAGTTCATGTTAGCAAAGCATTAAATTTACTCTTAATAATAATTATGAACAATATCGAAAAGCCTGAGGTTAATTTTGGAGTTTATGAAACATAACGTCGTATAAACATTACAAATGACTCATGAGTGCCAATATTTATGCTAGTGCGTTAAAATATTATTTATATCAGCTAAATACTTTAAATATAAATAATTTTGACTTGTTTGATTAGTGGTTAAACTAAGAATTAAGTTCAAACTTGCTACAGCTTAATTAATTGATTCTTGGTGAGAGTCACTACCATTGAGCTGCCCTACCTAGAATGCTAGGTCATGTGTCTTGTTTTTGTTTGTCTTCTCAAATTCAAGGTGATAAAGCTCAACACATTAAATTTAACAAACTAGATTTACTGGTACAAATACTCCTATTGTAGTTTAGAACAACTATAAACCCAAATTAAATTAAATAATCAGATCGCCTTGGGGTTGACTATAATTTCTGAGTATAAGTTCCATATATGAGCATTTCGAAAGTTAATTTTTAAGCAATTCAATGGTTGTAAGCTTCATTATAATTGTTCCGGAATACTATGATGCAATAATCACCCCAAAACTCGAGCATTCCGATATATTTTAGTCCTATATCAATTAAACTCAAGTCTTCCAGTGTATGTAAACCCTTCCCAACTTGTTCTTTGACTAGCTCTTATATTAACAAGCCTGCTAATCAATGTAAAATAAAATCAATCAATGCTCCCATATATTTAGCTGGTTTGATTTAGATACCTAAGCGGAGGCATTTTATAGTTTCTAATTAAGTTACTTAGATATTATGGTTTATAACCATCTGCTTAGTAGACTTGGACCATTAGTATCTTCAACATAATAAAATTATGAGATTTTGATTGAGGTTACCTCCATTGCCCAATTGATTTGTAATTAATTCAATTGAAATCTAAACATTAAACTTGAATCTAAAATTGAGCTTAAATAATCTCCCTTAATCTAAAGTTTTCTCTTGTGAATTGGAACAATAATTAGTTATGCGGGCTTGCTCCCTTTTAAACTTTGGGCTCTAGATCTAAATAGACATTGGTCTCTAGATCTAAATAGACATTGGTCTCAATGTCAAGGAAAATTTAGCTAAATTAAATCGCATCTATCTCATAAAAAATGAATTCCTGAGTTTAGAGAGGGTTTGATATTTTTCATGATTATAATGCATATTGGCAGTCGTACAAGTGGGCTTACTTGTTGAAGCTGAAGATAGAAAAGCAAAAAGTTTGGTTGGTTAGCTGCAATAAATCAGGTAAGGTGGAAGCTATGATGAGATATTGTCGTCGTTGGCTTTCAGGTGTTGTAATGGGTGAATAATTAGTAGGTGCAATGACTGCATGGATCGGGTAGATGGAGCTAAAGTGGACGGAGTCAAAGTAGGGGTCTGATGCGAAATTTATAGATGAACAGTGAGAATTGCAAGAATTTTTTATATAAGGAGAATTGCTTTGGCAGAGAAAAGTAGGTTTTGAGGTGATAAATGAGCGAATGCTTCAAAAAGGGGGAGGCAAGGGATATAAATAAACCAGGAGAAGCAATAAAAGGAGCTAATCCAAATAGGGGAGGTCACATGAGAACCATAATCTCAATTCGAAACTCATCATATTATGAATAGTTTTTTCAGTAGATGACTAGAACCGCTTACATAAAACTTGAGGCCCATAATAATGCTATACGTAAACAATAGGAAACATGTTTAAAAAATCATCATCATTAGCTTTATCCCAACTGTTTGGGGTCAGTATTATAAAGAATGTTTAAAACATGCTTTAGAATTGTAGACATATCTAATCGCCAATAATCATTCTGCATCAGCTAACTTTGGGTTTGATGCTTATGCAACAAAGAACCGAAACATGTGAGTTTTTATTTTGCTCTTAGTGTCTTGTGGGGATATATATATTTAACTTGAAAGGTGAAGCTGGTGACTGGTGAGAGCATACATTACTGAAAATTTTATGGTGAAGGTGATGAGATGATGGAGAAGTGGGAAGGGGATAAATGAAAATAATACTGTCAGATGTGAGATAAGATAAACCTAGAGATAGATATCAAATTCAGCCCTTGCAGAAATGAATAATGCAGGATTTTTCAACCCTATTTCAAGTAGTTCATTGTATCCTCGCCCTTTATGATCACATTGGTCTGGAGTTTACCAATGTTTTCTGGAATTTACCTATGTACATTCACATAATTTGCTCGTCATTGTGTACATTTTTACACGTAAATTTATATGGTATCTTTCAGTTTCATATGTATTTTTATTCGTCTCCTTGGACATTTTATTTAAATTCACGTGCTTATAAACTTAAATATGGTTTTCCCAGTGTACTCTGCGCAGGACCAATGTCTTTGTGGATAAATCTAATGACAAAAGCTTTACAGGGGATGGAACTATTGCGCGGGAGGATCAGGTTTTGAAATTGCATGCTCTTCAAACGCCTGATAATACAACTGAAGCTTCGCCTGTTTCCTCTGTGGGGAATTTATGCATGGACGAAGCTAAGGCATCTAGAACCGAGATGTTTTTATCTTCTGCAAGTTTGCTTAATATTTTCGAGATGATGCAGAAAATCATCGTGAGGAATGTAGAGGAGTGTATTCGCCTTGAGGGGTTGTTGATCATGAGTTTAATCATGATGGAGTGCAAACCCAGCACAGAGAGGGAGAAGTAATTTGCTCTGTTTGTTCCATTCAATCCAGCACTCAGAAGATTGTGCTCCTTTTACTTTATCGTTGATAATTTACTGCTTTATGCAGGTTTGGTTCAGTAAACTTTTTGCAAACTTTGTCAACTCTAATAAGCAGGGAAGCTGGGGCGCGTGTGAGGAAGCAAGCAGTGCGTCTTCTGTTTTTGCTGTCCAATGGTTGGTTCTAAGCCTTCAATAGCTATTTTGACATTATTATCAACTGCTATATGCTATTTTTTTTCTTGTCTGTTTTTTTTTTTTTTTTGGCATAAACAGAAAATATGCTGCTGCATGGCGGTGTGATGTGGAAGTAATGCTTGCTAAATTTCTATTGAACAACACAGACAGCCTATCTTAATGACATAAAATATATAATAAGTAGTTACTTATCGCTGTCATATATGATGCAGATTTGACTACCCAGTTAGAATTCTTTCTTTGAAATTTTATGTTTGCAAGCTAATGTGTTACTTTATGTAATTGTTTATTTATAACCTTCGTATATTTTAATAGCATAATGATTGGATGATAATCTTGCTGACTGGTGAAAGGCGAGTGCTTCCATTCATTAAAAAGACATTTTAAATATTGCTTTGAAACCCAACATAATTCACAGCATGTGAACTTTTTTGAATCAATTTTGCTATGATTTTGGTAACATTAGCTAAACATGCAAGCTTAACAAAAGGAAAGTTGAGCAAGGAAATTTGGAGAGAAGAAGAATATGAGGAAATGCCAATAAATTTATGAGAGGGAAGGTGATTTTCTAATACAAAATCTTTCAAGCAAGGGTGGGTGAATTAAGAGGAGGGTGGTATACAATGGAAGATTATTAACATAATAATATCATCGAGCAACTCAAAGGTATGTTTGTCAGTGTGAATGGGCGTTTAATCATATTGTTATGTTTGCAAATTTTAATTTTACTAGGCGACTTATTTTACCCACCAGTTGAGTTGAGAGATTGTGGCTTATAATGTTTAAGATTTTGCTTTGCATAACTTGGTGATTTCTTACTCATTTCTGATTTTACCTAAGTGCTTAGGTCAAGAAGACAATGGTGACTTTCATTTTTTTTTGTTGACACTTTTTTTGTCCACATTTTTTATGATTACAGAACCTTAATTTGAAAGGTATGTAGCAAGAGGGTATAAAGCGAAAATAGCATTTTGAATTCTTGAAAACAAGCTTATTTGTATTATTTGTATCTTGTTTTATCTTGCTTTTTTTTAATATTCCTTAATTTTTCCTCTTGGTCGATGATTCATCATTCCTCGTTCAGAAATTTAGTGTAGGAGGGATTTAATCCTTGGCAACAATGTCTAAATTTTATACCAACTAAACTAGCTAGCACCATCCGAACTTTTATCTTTCTTTATGTTATATTAATCTTTTGTTGGATGCTTTTTTGTTTCTATGTTTAGCAGTTGATCCTTTCTTTGCATAAATGCAGGCCCGAAGATATTGTTGATACTCAATAGTGGACAAGGAGAGGGTGCTGACCATACGACATTTGATGATACCCAGAAGTCTACAACATGGCAAGGAGCACTTACCTCTACTCTTGAAAATATAGCAGAGTGCCTAACTTTGAACCAAAGCTGTGCTGAGGTAAGTTTTAAAATTGCTGCGTATATGAAAGCATTTCTTAATTTACTTCTGCTTTATCTTCTTTGCTTGTAATGGCTCTTGAACATGCTTTTTAATATCCTAGTTCCGATTGCTCTATTTTTTAGTTCATTTTTTGGTTGTCCCTATCTGTCTCCATCCATTTTGCCTTCCTCATCTACTCTCTTTAGTTTCTGTCATCTGAGAATATCATGTTCTCTCCCGAATACAACAACAACAACAACAAGCCTTTATCCCACTATATGGGGTCATCTACATGAATCCTTTTTCTCCATCGTATTTTATTGAGTGTCACGTTTCATTTAATTCTAATAAATTGAGATCATTTTTTATACAACAATCTGAAGTCTTTTTAGGCTATACATTTCTCAACATAAGTTAAATCATCTAGCTCTCATAACCGAATGATCAGATGGTAGGCGTTTAATGTGACCAAACCATCTAAAATGACTTTCTCTAATATTTTCTGCCACTGGAGCTACACCAACCCTTTCACAGAGGCATTGGTTTTGCATTTTGTCTCTCTAAATGTCAAGCCACTCATCCACCTAAGCATCCTCATTTCAGCAACACTTAACTTAGTTTTAGGCTTCTCTTTTATAGGTCAATATTTGCACCATAAAGCATTCCGGGTCTCACCACCATCTTATAAAATTTCCTTTTAAGTCTAAGTGGTATTTTTCTAACAATAGGCCTGATGCATTCCTCCACTTCAACCAATCCAATTTGAATTCTACTAATAACATCCCCATCTATATCGGTGTCATTTTGAACAATTTACCTGCAATATCTGAAACGATGGCTCCTTTTAATGACTTTTTGTTCCTATTGTCCCTTCATCTCCCCTCTTCACTATTTTCTTTATTTTCTGATATAGATGGTGAAAAATAATGCACTTTCAGCTATTTTGAACTTTGCCAATTGTTGATGTCTTGATGATATCTCGTGCTTTTAGTTTCCCTTACTCCAATAGAGGTACTATTTATTAGTGATGCGGGAGCGTGACATCAGCCCAGGCAGAATGGGCGGCATGACATAAACGTGATTTCCACCTAAAACAATCCCATTTCAATATTTTTTCCGCCAAGGGGCAGGCCTGCTTTTGGGCCCCCTTTATTGCTTTATTTCAAATAGAATTAGGGTTTTTATTTGCCTTAATATAAATATGTTTTTTAAAATCTGTTAGGAGACTTTTTACTGGGTTTTGATACTATTTTGAGATCTTATTTTCTTTGGAAATTTGCTGTTGGAGATTCCCATTGACGTTCTTTGTCATCTACCATGGTCTATATTGTTGGGCATTGAACAGCGCGTCCGATCCTGTCTTCTATTGAGCTGCTGTGGATCCCCATGCCCAAGCAATGAAGTTCTAGTCAGACAAAGGCAATTTTCAATAACTGCCAGAGATACCTTCCGGTCACACCTAGAAACAGCCTTACGACATTGTGTCAATTGGATGATGTTGTCCGTATTGTAGCTAATAGATGTCTTTGTGAGCCCATAAATAAATAAGACGAATCAGGGCTGACATGTTTGCTAAGAGGAATTGAAATCCTAGATCAGTGACGTTCATGTCCTCATATTTTTCTTCACTTTCCAACATTTTGCAACATTTCTAGTTGCTGATCATTTCGTCTGACAATTTATGATGACTTTAATATCACAATAAACTAGTTTACTAGTTTTCATCTACTGAGTTCGGCTCGTAAAAGGCTGAGCTGGTTCTGTGCACTAGGCATCCCCATTAGCACGACGAAAGGGGTTGCCATCTTTTTAGCCACTAACGTGGCAAATTTAAGATTGTTATCGTTTGAACATCGGAATTGTCATCAGCCTTATGCACAACTTATAGTCAGCAAATCTACCCCTTATCCAAATTTTTTATACTAACTTTATCTACTCATTTAAGGGGCATTTTTTCTATCTTATGCTGTATATGCCGGAGACATCTGTGTTTTTTCATTAATTTATTGTCAATTGACATCACTCAAATTTTTCCTTGAATATAATCATTCACATTTTATCATTCCCATTTATTCTTAGTATATCATCATTCTCATGTATTGTTACTGTGTGACATACATTATGTTGTTACATGGAATTCAAATCTTGTCGCCACCTTTTATTGTTGATATATTCCTATATTGTGGTTATTTTTAGCATATTCAAGTCAAACAATCCCATTCTTTACCAGAATTACAGTTCTAGTTTAAATATGCCTTCCCTCTTCTGGGTTAATTCCATGCCTGCACCCCCTTTAAGTGCTTGGTTTTAACGGTATTTTCTCACTAAATTTATACACAGCGCAGAAATTTGTTTATTTTTCTCTCCTGAAAAGAAATATAAAACCCCCGATTCTATTCTTTTTAATAATGTGTGACAACATCACATTATTTTATTGCTGGTTGTTTAACTTTTGTGAAAATTACATACATAGCACCAAATTCTTATGGATTTATCCATCTCACACCTAAACTTTCGTTTTTACACACATAACACTTTACTTATAGATGAAAAGATGGATTTAACTATTGAAATGTGATAATGAGTGCTACTTTTCAAATAATGTTTATAATTATGAAAGTTTTAAGTGTGAGATAGGTAAATATGAAATTTTTGGTTGCTATGTATGAACGAGCCCCCTAACATTTTTGTAATAAAACTTTCAGGAGCTCAAATTTCGTAGGCGAGTGATCATTTTGTTGGCATTTATAGCATCATCTGGGAAAAATGGGTTTGAAGTTCTTTTACATCCGGTAACAGCTCAGCAAATCAATTTCCTGGAGCTGATCATCCAATTATTAGCATCTGAGATGGATGCAGAAATACCTAACATTGGTTTAACTCGGGACTTGTGCAAGGAGAGGTAAATGCAAATGATAACTCAGAATGATATTACCTTCGTTTATCTCTGGAAGATTTACATACATACCTATTGATTCTCATGTATTTACAAATCTTAACGCCTATACTTCAATTTTTACATATATGCTACTTTATTTAAGCATGAAATGTGCATTTCACTTTATCAAACTGCTGATCATTTTATTCTTATTAAAAAAAAAAAATAGAGGGATGGCTGATAATGTTTTATGAGGTGATTCTAATTAAAAACTTAATTGATTTTTTATGCATTGCGACTCATCTTATAATAAATCTAATAATTTCGAGCGAGATATCTCTTACCAAAGTTGTAATATTAATGCTTTTGTATTAATTTAGCAGGATCTCTTTTATTAGAGAAGCTTTGATTCTACTAAATCGTTTATCATCACATCCTACCTATTCTGAGAGAACTCTGAGAGTGTTGTTAACTGGTAGCAAGGTAACCGCAAGCTTGACCATCGATGTTGCTAATAGGCTATCAAGGAGAATACAAGCTTTCCGGAAGCATTTCGGGACTAAAACCCATGTTTTGACTGAGACCAATGACCTTGCCCGATTATTTCGGCTGAAAGTATTTACTTTTCTTGGAGTTCCCGCTTCTTGAAATCTTTTGCCAAGGTACTCTTCTCACTTTACATGCTTTTAGAAAATCAGTTTTGTTGAAAAATTTTGGTTTTTTTTTTTTCTTTTTAATTGTTGTTGTTTTGTAATCATCATACGCTATTGCACTTTCTTTTTAATTGTTGTTTTGTAATCATCATACGCTATTGCACTTTTGCTGTATATAGTATTGTGCTTATATTCTGAGGTTTAAAACTGTAGGAAATAAAACAATGGAAAGTTTTGAAAGGATCTTTATGCACTTTTTTGAGTTAATTTGCATCTCCAATAACCATTATAAAATAAGAATAAATAAATAAAGGAGAAAATAATTGAAGGATGATGATCCTATAAGAAAGTATACAGATTGCAATACAAGTGTTATAGAAAAATAGATCCAATTGCACAAGATATTGATCTGTGTGCCTTGAGTTATTTATTATGTTTGCAGTGGTGGATTGCAATTCAGTTGTCATAAATAAATAGATTCGGGTGTTCTAAGTTCTTTGTTAACAAAAATTATATATATGATGGCAAATTCTGCCCCCCAGATGTTGAATGAAAATTGTAGGTCGCAGTTTTCATACTCTTTCTGCCTAGAACAGAAAGCAATCAATTGCGTTCTGTTTAAAACTTAATTGGTGCATGCATAACGCCAAAGTCACATTAGAATGTTTATAAAAAATTTAAATATTATTAATATTAACTTTCTAAAGCAATATCTTTTCATTCATACTTTTAGCTGTGAATGACATTAAATGTATAAATGCATTAGATTATGTGGTATGTCTATGAATCTTGTATTGATGGTTGCTTTAGTTTTAATATGGAAAATAGCTCAAGTAAAAATGTCTAAGTTAGCATCACCGGTCTTTACTTGATGCTCACCGGTAAAGGATTGAATCGTAGCAGCACCATGAAATTTTATGCATCACATAAAGGATTTCCTGTCAAAGACATCTGCTATCGTGATGTTCAATCAAGCAAACCACTCGCTCATCACAATGAAATTGATCGTCCAACAAATGGTACATTTTCTTTTCAGCTCGAATGATGTTATAGTTGATTAAAAAGAAACGCTACACAATGGATGCTAGTTGTGAACTAATGCTTTATGACGCTAAAATTTCAAATAATAATAATAATTGTACAATACAATTCAAAACATTTTAAATTTTTACTATTTCTTGTTAATTTTCAACATCAGTTTAGAATGTTTAAAATGAGATTATTAAATATGCATGAGGTTCAAGAAAATCTATTTTATTTGAGCGTGTAAGTTTGAAAATAAAAGGTTTGTGTAATGCAGAGCTGTTGCAATTTTGTTTGAGAATTAGAGTTTATTTGAAATGGCTAAAATTTTTATAAAGATGTTCAGATTTGAAAATTATTATTATTATTATTTTGCAGCTATCCCACAGATTTAATTGTAAGAGTAAAATTTCCTTTTAAAAAAAAAACTCTAAACAGAGGTACAGAACAATGGCGACGGCCTAACGCAGGTAGAAAGAACAAGCACTCTAAATTGGTCAGTATTATGGCCAATAACTTCGCATGATGGCATGTACCCACAAATCTCTAATGCAATTGCTTCAACAGAAACAAATAGTTATTAGATGGACAATTTGCTTGGAGATAAACAATGAAAATATAATCTTTTTTGGAACACGCAAGTAGGAGGAAGCTCGGGTACTACACAATTCAAACAAGTAACAAGACCTAGTGATGATGATGATGTTGAACAAACCGTAGGCCGCAGTACTTGCATACAGCTGGATCTTTTAGGTCCAGGCATATGAATTCAATTGGATGCCCAAGAGCCGGGTTCGAATCTGCACACCAAATGCACAATTATCATATAATAGCTTCTTCCTATTGGTTGACGCCAGAAAGCTTCTTTTTTTCCCCTGGTTTTTCTATGATAAAGAGGTTGGGTTTTTCTTTAAATGAATAGAATCAATCCCAAACAATCACACAAGGTATTGAAAGGATTGGATGAGTTGAAAGAATTAATTACCTCCCTCACAGGCCACGATCCTGCCTTCAACCTTAATTGGTGGAACTTCGTTGATCAACTGCATGGGCGACTTCCTGCTGCTATCCTGCAACAACCGCAAAATGCTTCATATAGACTGACAAAAACCTGTGAAGTGAGATGGTTCTGACGTTACAAGCTTCAAAGATGGCAGCACAGAAACAACTACCAGAGAAGCAAGCTCCAAAAAAGTAGAGGTAGAAGAAAATGGAAGGTTGTTTTGGCATTTCACAGCCAAGGAATAGGGCAATGTAGAGAAGGGAAAAACAGAGAGAGCATGGTAATGAACTAAAATGTGTCACCTTTATTCAAAAAATGACCCCTATTTATAGGCATAAGAGAGTACAGATACAAGATTATATTTATGTCCCTACGTTATTGGGATAATGAAGGTTGCTGGTCTTTCACAAATATGAGACAGGTATAGCTGCCAATGGGCACTTCGGGGTAGGAGGCTCCTACCGATCGGTCCGCTCTTTCGGCAGATCGAACGGTCAAGCTAATGGTATTGCAGTATTTTGGGAAATAGGGAACCGAGTTGTAGAAAGGCCGGTCGGCCCCAGGGTCGCTTGAACAGATTTCTTTGTCTTGGCTCGGGTGGATAATAACAGGTTGGTCAATCTTTCCGTCCTAACCGTCAGATTTCTTCAAGATTTGTGCTGACAAATTTTTTGTATACAATATGAACTATGATTAAAAAGACTTGGCAAATTTCATACAGGACTCTCCGATGTCTTCAACATGGACGGATGCTGCAATAGATTTTTGTTACAACAAGTTTAACTTTATATATCCTCTTATGGACTGTGCAGACATATTAACGATTGTGGCATTCAGATACATGCCACAATTCTTTATATATCTAAAGCCTAAACCTTCATTTTACATACATAACATTTAATTCTTTTGCATATTAGCAAAAATATCACTATCACTAAATTAAAAAATTAAAATCAAATACACTTTCATGCATGGGGTTTTAATGCCAAACTATTATAAGCGTAAATATCAATATTTAGATATTAGACATGTAACTAATAAGAATTGCATGGTATATATGAAATATTCCCTTAATGATTACGTTATTCATATCAGATAATCATTATTAAAATACAACAGGGCTATTGTACCGGTAAATTTACAAGCCTGCATAAAATCCTAAAAGTTAATTTAATGCATGAATCCCATTTTAAATGGAAAAAAAATAGTTGAATGTCAGTTTCAGAAGGACCGTGTCCTGGTACTTCGATTAGCTACACCATTTGATTTTTTCTGTGTTTTAGCAAAAAAGCTACAATTACGAATATGCTTACAAAAAAATATTCAATGTGATGTATGCTGATGTACCCTATTAGCATATCATACTGTATTGAGCATCTGATATGTGAACCCTCTTCAGAAGATTTTAGAAAGTTGAAGCGACAGACGGGTTCTTTGGTTTGACATTTTAAATACAGCAGTTTTGAAAATATTGACGTTTGATTTGAAGGAGAAGAGATGCAGACCATGGTTAGTTATGGTGTTTTCCAAAGTAGGCCAATTTAGTTGAATTTCAAAGACATTCCAAGCCAACCACCAACCCCCACTGTTGGTAGCAACTACCGCCCACAACTAATGTTCAGCTATAAATTAGTTTGAATGATTTAATTTTTTTTTAATAACCATAAAAAGTTAAATACAAAGCTAAACTATATTACTTATTTAATTATTTAATTAATTTGAGCCAAAATGAGCTGAACATATTGACCAAAATTTCTGTGTTAAGCTCGTCTATAAGTCGAGCTAATAAAAATGTTCATGTTCCGCTCGCTTAACAAACTAATCAAACACAAGCTATTTAGTGAGCTGAACATTCATTTTTAGCAAAGAACGAGCTTTTCTTGACAGCCCTTGTTGGCAACACAGAAATCTGAAACATTGATGGATCAAAGACGGCAATTCCGAAACACAACATTGTCATAAATTTACTGTTAAGTTCATTGGAACAGCTGAAATTATTTGTGATTTCATTTTCCATAACATATTTCGCGCAAGAGTCAAATTTATGATGTTATGGTTTTTAAATAGAATCTAAAAGGAAGCATTCGTCACGTCTTCAAGCTCAAAAAAAGCGATCATAATTTTATATTTGAATTTGTTAACATCACGAGCTATTTATGAGGATACTGAAAATTTTCAAATAGGAAAGCCGAAATGTAAAATTTCAGTTCATTGCATCAATAAAAACCTATATATAATACCAAGTAATTTAAAATCCTACTAATTGAATAAATGAAGAAGAAAGTAACTAAAAAAAACAAAACGTTTTTAGATTCTAGGTAACTAACCGCTGAATTCAGGAATTGACCCATTCAAAAGCCTAAAATAATTGAGTAGAAAAGAAAAAAGAACCAAAGTTCAAATGAAATTCTAGTTTTTTGTAAGATGAATTAACCAATGGGTGATCTTCTGGTTAAGAAAAAAATTGGAGTCAACATTTGAATAACGAAAAGATTAGTGAAACAAATTTGTCAGCAAATGAACTTGGAGTTGCCAAAAGAACGATTGTGATGTTAACATTGCTAATAATGATAGTGATATGAATTCAACTCTTAGAGACAGGATTTGATGTTATATTTGATTGTTTGAGGAAGCATATAGTGCAGTTTATGTAAAGTTGAGGAGGTTCTTGTAAAAGTTTTATCACAAAAGATAATTTCAAACCTAAATAATACCGCAATAACGCCGCTATCTTGGGTCAATACAATCGTGATCCAACCTAAATAACACCATTACAACCCGCAATAACACCCACCAATACCGTCGCAAACTCTTCAGCAATGCCGCACCAATATTACCCTTTAATCGCGATCCAACCTAAATAACACCATTACAAACTCTTCAGCAATGCCGCACCAATATTACCCTTGCCCGCGTGATCCAACCCCCAATAACACCGCGGCCGCGGTCCTAAGGCAATACAACCGTGATCCAACCTAAATAACACTAAAATAAAACCCGCCAATTTCGAGACGAACATGAATAGAAAAATATTATTCGAGCCGAACACGAACACACTGTTCACGAGTCATTTCGAACACGAGTCGAGACTGAGCTCGCTCTGGCTCGGCTTGTTTACAGGCCTACTGAGGAGCAACATATGATTGTTTGAGGAATCATATACTACAATTGATGTAAATTTGAGGACGTTTTTGTAAAATTTTTATCACAAAATAAGACTTAAAAGCCACCACTGAGGTTCAGAGATAGCAACTTAATAAAATTGAAGCCAAGCTTAATTGGTACAACAGCCACCCAATTGAGTTGCTTGATAGATTCACCTAAGAAGTCCACTTATAAGTTCATGAGATGAAGACAAAGGTCAACTTAAATTTCTCAAAGACTCCTTGATGAACAAATTTCCAGTAGTTGCAAGTTCATGTTACACTAATTAATAAAAACTGGTATCAATCCATAAGAGGTCGCTCAATTCAAACCATTGTAATTTGCTAGGCGGAACTGAAGAATAATTAGATGAAGAATTCAATGATGCGGTAGCTTCTTAGAGTTATACTTCTAGAAATTAGACTTACCATCATTTTTTGTGTACTCGCATAAATAAGATTGTATTACCAAATTTTATTATTTATTTATCTTCTCTTGAGCTTAGATGTAATTAAAATTTTGTTTTGAATGAATTAAAAGCTTCTCTTCATGATTTTGTTTGTCATGAGATAACCTATAAGTTCATATCTTACTTCCCAATTTATTTAAATGATCAACTTTGCTCGTAAGTAGTCAAACTTTATGAAAGCCTTCTTTTGCTTTTAAGTCAGCCTTTAATGGGAAGTCAGCCTTGAAGGTATTTGCCAACGTTGAATAGGTCAAAGTCAAGACAACATTTGAGCTGTCCAAGTTGATACACGATGATTATGAAAGATATCTCATTTAAGTGACTGCGCAGTTGTGACTTGATCTGTTGAGATCTTCTATGGTCCCGTGTAAATAACAACATGCAGCGATCGTCCGAACAAAAATTTCCACAAGTATGAGGTAAGTGCTTTCTTTTTTATTGGGGAAATTGGCAAAACAAGATTTTCTCAATCCAGCAAGGCGTGGAACGCTTTTACGAAGCCACATTGAAAATTGGTTGATGACACTTACATGAACAAAAATGAAGACCATTGAAAGAGTGGGAAAGTAATTTGTAACTTTGTCTAATCTTCAGTGGGAAGTTCTTACCCAAAAGGTCAATTATACTTGTTTAATGAACTGTAACGAATTGTAGTTTCTAATGAATTTGTTAATTCTAATAAGATTTGTGAATGTAATTTCTATTTAGATAATAAATTATTATGACTGATAACTTAAGAAAGTTTTAATTCAAAATAGGATTGAACATTTGAATAACTTAATAGGTCTTACTCGATTGTCATTCCCCAGTGTAGCATGTATCATTTTAGAATGTCACATTGTCTAGACAAGCCTCATTTTATGCCAGTGTTTTTTATTTGTTCAAATAAAACTAAGATCCCCTTTCAAGGAAATTTAAGACTCGCTGCTAAAACGGCCTTTTTATTCTACATGAAAATTTCATCATAAAAGGGAGAACTAAGTTTTGGGACTTGACTAAGTTTTTGTTTAGATACTTTAGGGGTTTAACTTGTTTTATATGATTTTATAGAATTCAAAAGAATACTGATTAAAGCAGTCGTTAGTTAAGCTTGGGGAATAGAAAAAAATAAAATAAAGAATTTCTAAATATATAGAGAATTGCTCTCCATCGATAACCAACTATTAAGAGTAAGTGACTTGACAAATAACAATATGATGGCAAGTTAAGAGTCAATTTATTTTTTTTCTGGAGTGAAACTAGTGATTTAAGTTGTGTTAGGGCGACTTAATCAAGTATAGATTGCTCATCCACTTTATGGTGGTAGCTTGCTTGGAAGGAGTATTCTCACACTTTTTGATGGTAGCTTAATTTGAAAGTTTCCTAATAAATTAAAGAGTTCACAAAGATGAGTTCTGAGAACAAATCGATGCTGAAGAACTAGAGAGAAATGCACTTCATCCTCCATAAAATGATTGAAAACATATGGTGTCAATAAACTACTTCTTAACCTCATTGCTATCCCAAACTAGTTGTCTAAAATTGATGTCTAGACTCTAGTGTATCATGCCTAACTCATTGCCCTATGACTCAAACTCCTTCTCAAGTGCCACTAAAGTTCAAGGTTGGGCTTGATTCAGATGATTGATGGTGCACATTTCTCATGGTTCAAAAAAAAATTCAGGTGACTTGTACATTGCATGCCCATGGAGGAGTAAGCTCATTGGTGTCCACTAGCTAAGATTGATGCAAAAATATTCTAAATTAAGTGGAGATGATGAATAGTGTAGAGTACTTCCCTGCGTGAACTGCATCATGGACACTTGTAAGAAGGGGACAAATATAATCGAGAAGGAATAACTTTAGTGGATATCTTGGAAGATATAATGGTAGAAAATTCAAAACTAAAAATTAAAGCACAAGAAATCAAACATTTAAAACTCAGAAGACTGGGAGAATAAAAAGCTTGTTAGAAAATATAGTCATGAAAATTAGTGGATGTTGGTGGTGGTTAAGACTCAGCTAATCTATTAATCTTTGCTGTAGTAAAAAAGAGAGAAAAGAGATTCTTTTTAGAAGAACAAAAAGCTGAAAAAGTATGCAAAGGAGTTCTAATTGAACCACTTTTCATTGAAAGTATAAGATCTACTTAATCTTTCTTTTCAACAGAAATGGGTTCAAAATATTCTTAATCCCAAAGATTTCAATTTGAAAGGGGCATTTACATACATACCACTCAATTCCTATGAATTTACATATCTAACACCCAAACATTGCTTTTTTACTCCCAAACATTTCATATCGTATCAAAAATACCACCATTTTAAATTTAAAAAAATGAAATACAACACTTCATTGGTAGGGAATGGACGGATGCTGCAATA